CTTTTCCTGATTCCCCTTCTTTCCACGTTCCTGACAGATTAAGAGCCGTTTGGATAATCAAATTCAGAAGATTTTATTTAAACAACAAATTATTTTAATATATATTTTTTTCCCTGTTGTGTGGTTGCAGAAAAAGAAAGATGTTTCCTCAGTGCCCTATCGATTTCCCCCCAACAGCAACAGATTCACTATCCGTACAGACGGAAAGAAATCACGGTATGGTCCACAAAAGACACTGACAATTAAGCAGCTACATTTCTTGTTATACCAAATCTCGCGAGATAAGAGGCTTTTAAGTCTTTTTTTTTTTTTGTCGTATTGTCTTTTTTATTTCCCCCCCTCAGAAAACCGACGAGAGATCATTTCATAAATATCATCTCCGGCTAAATAAAATGACGTTTCGAATACTTTAATGGCGAAATTTAATGGCGAAATAAAGGGCTTTTTTAGCAGGGAACTGAGACGTATGTTGCCGGAACTCGCCAATACCGAGAAACGTTAGGCAGGGTACGAAAAAGGAGGAAGTGACTCGTGGGCGCTTAAAGGGACAATGATTATCAATAGTTCTATTTAAAACCTAAAAATCTGTTGTTGCATCTTTGCTCTTATTTTCCCCGAACTTTCTATGATGAAGGGAGTGGGACAGCAGCACTTTAGCAACTCTCCTCGAACTGGCTGGATTGAGGGAAGAGTTCTGTATGAGACAGAAGCTAACTAGCGGCTGCTTTTTTTTTTTTTAAACACAGTAAATACGGACAGAGCTGGAATTTGTCTTAAAAAGGTATCTTCAAGAACATAATCTTGGTTTACGCTTTCCCTTTCAAACTTAAATGAACGCTCAAATTGCTATATTAAAAATCCCCCTAAAATAAAGCTAAAAATTATATCGTAGACTTAGCAAGAAACTGAACTCAGGTCAACATCAAGAAATAATTTACAGAAAAAATGCTATGATTAGGATACTTCTCCAGCTCTCAGAGTAACTTTTATCTTTCTTCAAGGATGAGAAATTAGTTTCATCTTTTCCCCTAAAGGGGCACTTCTCTATTACCAACGAAAATAAGGATTTTGAAAAGTAACAATATATTAACTAACTTAACTACAGGTAATCGTCAGACTATGTAAGGAAATAGTTCAAGCTAAGCTACAAAACAGTTCTTTAGTAAATTTTAGTGCACTGTAACGTATGCAGTCTAGCCAGAGCAAAAAAAAAATATATATAACAACGAAAAGAAAAACGTTTCTGTTACACAAGTTTGAGTTGTACTTATTTTTAATGGTAAAAAACGAAACATTATCTACTTACTTAAAAAAAGATAGAAGCATTCAGTAACAAGAAGTTTTACAGATTTTAAGTGATCTAAGCACGCACATATACTCATTCAGAAACAACACGCACAATGTTACAGCTCTTCTTACGAGAAAGTATGTGGCTCTGAAAAGAGCCTTTGGGTTGTTATCGAGAGCGTGCGCAGACCACAGAAGGGGGAAAAAAAGAGCTTCAGCCGCCGAAGCCGTAGAGGGTGCGTCCCTGGCGCTTGAGCGCGTAGACCACGTCCATGGCCC